CGGCCACAAAGACTGCACTGCTGGGCTCAGAACCTCTGCGCTGCAGGTCCCCGGCACGGCTGACGGCCACACGTCTGTGAACCCTATGCTGTTACTGTAAAGTCCCGCCCCTTCCAGGACCCATCAAAGACTCGGAATTCTAAATGCGACTGCAGTACGACCAGCTGGATGCAGAAGCTTTCCTGGAAGAAGAAAACACCAAAAACCTGATCCAAGAAACAGCCTGAGACAATCTGGAGAAGCACAAAATGAAACTGAATCAAATCCTGATCATTTTTGTCTTTTTGTTTTTAATGCTAATCAAGAGAATACCTAAATTTTCCATTCTAAAAAATGGTTTAATTCAAACTAAATTTTATTCAAATACTAACACACTCAGGAAAATGACTGAGCAGTTAAGCAGGGCCGTGACAGTACAGGCAGGGCCGGCCTGACATGTGGACGGCATCTCAGCACCTGTAAGGAGTCGGGGTTTGCCTGTCCCGAGGAGGGAGTGAGGAGGAGGAAGGGAACGTGGCAGAGAGAGGAAAGGGTGGTCTGCACTAGCCTTTGGAGGCGTGGGAGAGTCACTCGCCAGGTGCTCGCTGGCCCAGTGCTGGCAGTGACCCAGCAGTGGCCCCAGCGGCTCTGTTGCTTACGTCTCAGGCTAGGGGAGAGGCCTGAGACACAGAAAAACAGACGTCAGAAAAAAGTTTCAAAGGAAATTTGTACATTAGAGGAGGGGGTGAGTGGTGAAGAGGAAAAGGAAAGATGCGTCCCTTCCCCTCCCATCAAACTCCCCGCCTCATTTCCCCTCATCTCTCTCCAGACAGTCCACTAGCTTTTCATCATCTCCAATATGGTACCTCGAGTTGCTAAAGCTGATTTATAAGAGATTCTTAGCATCATGCTGCCCATTCTCTCTCTCTTGAATACCTTATAAAATGTCTAGTAAACTGGTTTGAGCCGGTACTAAAGTAAAACCATACTGTGTCACCCCACAAAAAGCCCCGCAAATTTTATAAAGCAGTTGAACTAAACATAAAATATTTTTAAGCCAAACCAATCTGGTATTTCAGGTGGTTCAATTCCCCACCCCAACGTGGGAAATCCACAAACATTTTTCATTTTCAAATCAAATGTCGAGGAGCCGTACACCACCACACTGCTACCGGCAGTATTCACATCCACCGACAGCCTGTTCCTCATTCACACAGCCCCGTTTTTCACTTGAACCTTACAGGCTGCTGTTCACAAGAAATGAATGTAAACGAAATATGCATATGATTACATGACCCAGATTCCATGTTCAAAGAAAATTTCATAAGGTTACACCCTTGGGATAAAATAATAGGAGAAGAGAGTGAGTCATTTTCATAGTTTTGCAACTTACTGCAATGTGTTTCCAAGTGTTAAACCTTCTCACACCATCTCTCCTTTAGAAAGCTTTTAAAATGCTTAGATGGAAACACATAAGATGTTATATAAAAGCAGAAAATTCTGCAGAAAAAGGAACACAAATGTGAGGCAGTCTGTCAGCTCTTAATGAGCTACAGAAAAGCTGATGTGAGTTCAGTCATCAGCTGGAGGGAGATCTTGGGGCTGGAAATCAAGAAAGAAAGAGAACATAATGCAAATGGGGGAAAAATACCACCGGGGCACTGCCAGGAATGGAACATAAACCTTTAGGCAAACAGTAAGGAACAATTTTATTCAATGAGGAAAAAAAAAATCAGGTGACTATGTGAAGGTATTTTGTGTATGTATTTTCCACGGCATACTACTAAAATAAAAATCACACGTAGTAAACTAAAGGAATTAAAATAAGGGGGAGGATTTAGGTCAGTGGTAGAGCGCCTGCCTAGCATGCATGAGGTCCTGGGTTCAATTCCCAGTACCTCCATTAAATAAATCAATAAATAAACCTAATTACCTCCCCCCCATTAAAAAAACACTAAAAACATTTTTTTAAATGCAAGTTGAAGAAAAAGATACCAGGCAAGAAATTGGACTGCCCATAAGTACAATGAGGATAAGCCACTTGGGTCCCCAATATCTTGGTTTTGCTCTTACCCTCATAGCACCGTCCTAGCTGCCTTCAATGTCTTCAAGCACAAGGAAGGGTTTAAGTAAATAAATTCATAAATAAATAAAAAGATAGCACTTCCTGCTAAATGCCACCGCTGAAGACAAAAGTCACAGACTGAATTATGAATGAGGAAACTGTGCCAGATACATTTGGGACATCTTCACTTCACTTTCAGTGGTCTGGGGTTTCTCTAAAATGCACTGCAAGCTCTTGGTTTCAGGACACAAGCACTCGGGGTGCTTATTAGAAATGCAGATTTTAGTCTTCACACATCCAGAGATACTGATTTTGAAGGTCAAGGATCCCAAGATTCTGAATTTTTAAGCAGCTCCTCAGAAGACCATAAATGCATATGGTCCGCAGTTCACACTCCAAGGAAAACGACTGCCTGAAATAAAAGACCTGTTTCTCTACTACGGAGATTAACATTTTTTGTTTTTGAGCCAAAAAAACATATTTCAGAGCAGAAAGGAACCTTTAAATACACTTTATTCTTCTGAATCATCAACGTTGTAACCTTAGGTGGTAGCCAATGGGTAGCTCTAATGGGAATTATCTGTTCGGTGGTGATGAAAACGGTTTCATCAAGCCACATTGGACAGCAGTGTAGCTACAGATGGCTGTAAAATGCTTTAAGGGGCCTGCACAAGAACCCTTCACAAGGGCTGCTTAAAAGTGTGCTGAATTTTCCTTATGGGAAATCTGAAAGATCAGTAAAAAAAATTATACATATATACATACATATATATATATATATATATATGTATATATATATATAAACACACAAGCACTTATCACTACTGTATCTAAAAATTCTAATTTGCTTCTCACTTCATTTGTCAGCAAAAACACCCCAAGTGCATTACGCAGGAAGCTCTTCACGGGCCCCTTCAACACTTAAGACCCATGACTGGGCATTTATTTTCTCTATGGCTTTCTTGCTTATCTCCTTCCTTTCTCTGTCTCTTCTTTTTGATAACCAACAGCATGACCCTTATCCACACGTACATTCGCCCACCTTGTCGGAAAGATAGACATTGTTGTCTTTGCCCCAGAGGAGCTGCAAATTGATTTTCATCCCTCCCAATATGAGCGTTTCTGAGGGAAGAGTAAGGGTCAGGCCCTGCCGAGAAAAGGACCCACGATTACAATATACGGTGGCATCTGCTACGAACAGCAAAGGGATTGCTATAACAACAGAAAACTCTTTGATTTTTGTCTTCCTCCAGCAAACTAAAAATAAAATATTAGGGAGCTCCAGAACGCATGGCAAGAACAGCACCATAAAATCTGAGTGGAGATTTGCGGCTGACAAAGATGCAGCAAGGGTTGATCCTGACGGTCACTGTCAGAGTAACACGCCAGCAACACAGACGTGGAGAAATCGCAGTCTAAGCTGGCTGTTCTCTGCGTGTACTGAATGGCAAAGAACTGGTCACTAGCATCCATTGCTGGCCTCACAGATCACAGGACTTATGTTCCAGCACAGAGAGGGTGGGTGAGGCAGTGCCTAGGTTCTGGCCAACCTCACCATCTTCCTCATGAGAAAATGATCATGGGGGCAGAGGTGTCAGTACACTGGAAGTCTTGTCCACTAGTCTGTTCTGATCCAGTCCAGATGTGGAGAAGGGAGGGTGTATTCAGAACTGGTGGGCACTGGACTCCGGCATATCTGACAGTGACACATGGGGGCTTCCCAAATTCTGACGGCACGGCATAAACTCTTTCTCCACGTGACCCAGTGGGAAAGACGGGAGAACGTCCTTCTGCTCCCCCAACACCACCGCACCAGCCACAACTGATGACTCCGCTGTAGCCTATCATGTCTCATGGGACTTCACATGAGTACATTTCAGCAACATTTTCTAGTTTCTAATACCTAGTTTCTAATTCTAATATCAGGTCAGAGCCAGAAGCAGAGAGGAAACCTCTTACCACCTAGTTCACAAGAAGAAAGGACTTCCAGTTCCCCGAGGCAGACTATTTCTTTGATAAATACTCTTACCTAAGAACAAACTACCCTACTAGTGATATGTTCTTACAGTAAGCCCCTACTTTATCACTGAAGTCAAAACAAATTTTTAAACGAGTTTAGTTCAATGTGCATTCCCTACAGACCTACTTTATACCCAGGAGGGGCCTTCCAAGACATTCGACAAAGGATGAAACACAGTCCTGTCCTCAAGGACTCTGGGTACCTTCAGGGGAGTAAGAGCTGGGCCTTCTGACTCAGCGTGGCAAACATTTTTCTGGAAGGATGGGCACGGTGTTCCAGGATCACTGTGGAGCCTGGGAGATCTGGGGACCCCTTCAGAGGGGGCGACAACTGAGTTACATTTTAAAGTCTGAATGACATTTTACTGCAAATGGGAAGACTGAGAAAGACCTCAGCAAAGGGAGCATGAAAAAAAAGCTATGGGGTGCAAAAGGGGAGTCTTTAGGGAACAAAGAGCATTTTGTGGGATTGAGGCACAGGGGAGAGCGATGTGGACGATGAAATCGAGGGGCTTGGTTGCAGCTAGAACAGAAGGGACTTTATCAGCCACACAGAAGTGTGAGTTTTATCCTGTGGGAAGCACAGTGTGGAGCCCTGAGGGGTTTTTAAGGAAGGGTACTGCCAGACCCAAACTACATTTTAGGCGGAGATGTGTGGAGGCTGACAGGGGGCGACAGAGAGGCTGGAAGACCAGTCAGAAGGCATTTCAGAGCTTAAACAAGACCATTCATGACCCGTGTCGGAAAGGCTCCACACTCTTAGATGGCCATCACTTCTCCCATCACTTCTTTAGTTCTGAGTTTCCCCCTTTTTAATTCTATATCAATACTGATATCTATTTTTTTCTACCCAAAACACACCATCTGCAGTTCACAAAATCACATTCCACATGCTGGAGAGTCAACGTGTAGGTAAACGCTTAAAAGAATCTCTTACCTGAACAGAGCTGCTCCACTTTTGTGTAGTTTAAAGATACTATGTCGTTAACCCATGCGATGATGTCATGTCTGCTCATAGTCTCTTGGGTTATCGAGGTAGAATACACGTTGACCGCCATTCCCCAACTAGAAAAACAAACAAACAAGTTAATGTAACTACAAGGAAGAAATTAACTCAGAAATATGCAAGACGTCTCTTCCAGGTCTGGATTTCTGGCAGAAGAACTCAAAGGCGTGTCGAAGTCCTGCTCTGGCTAAGCCCTTCCCCTTCCCTTTCTCTCTACATATTTGCTGTAATATGGTTAAATCTCATATACTGTTCACACAGTATCATTTTCTCTCTCCTTCAACTTGACTCAAATATTTTTCAGGTCCTGAGATCCCTCATCTCTCCTGTAACTTAGTGTCTTACTTTTGTACTTAAATCTACGTGTGGTATGAAAAAGTGATCAGGTCTCTTAACAGTACACACTGGAGAAGACTCTTTGTTTTACAAACGATTTCTTAATACTTTTCACCGCAAGTCCTTGCAGACGGCACCTCCCCTAGTCTGCTCATCTCTGGACCTGTAAACGGCAGCTCCACTGACTCCAGTGGCTCAGGCTGAAAACACCATCATCTTTCTTGCCTCCTCTCTTTTCCTCGCCGCATCCATTCCACCAGCTAATCCAACTGGCTTGACCGTCAAAGTATTTTCAGAGACTGCTAGCCTGATCCAAACCTGTGTCAGCACTCCTGGGTATTTTGCAGCAGTCTGTCCGTGAGTCTCCTGCTTGGCCCCCTGGCCCCCACCACCTATTTTCAACACAGCAGCCACAATGATTCTATTGGCAGAAATCAGATCCTCTACTTCTTGGTTCAAAACCCTCCAATGGCAGCTCATCTGAGTACAAGCCAGCGTTCTCACCGCGCTTCACAAGGCCTTATGTATCCTGTCCTTCCACACCTTCTCCCACCGCCCTCCCCATCACCACACTCCATCACCACCAGCCTCCTGCCTCTCTTGGAATCTTCAAGCCCACTCTCGCCACTGCTGTGACTTCAGCCAAGACCACCTCACCAAGGAGGCCTCCTCCTCATTATCTCCTTAATCCTTTTCTCTCCACAGACAGGACACACGCTCCATGGGGACAGGGATTTCGTTCCTTTTAGTCTCTGTATATTCCTGGTGCCCAGTCCAGTTCCAGACATCAAATAACAAAAATATAAAATGTTGACTGCAGGACTGTGCTTTTTTCCCCACAGAAGGGAAGCATGGCAGGAGGTGAGTTAGGAACATTGTTTATCAGCTTTAGAGAAAAGGAAATTCACTGTAGAGACAGGTTATATACACATTTCATTAGAAGAACAATCCTCGCAAATGCTAACCACTATATATAAAAATAGATAAAAGACAGATTTCTTCTGTATAGCACAGGGAACTATATTCAATACCTTGTAATAACCTTTAATGAAAAAGAATATGAAAATGGATATATGTGTGCATATATATGCATGACTGGGACATTATGCTGTAACCAGAAATTGACACAATATAACTGACTATACTTCAATAAACCAAACAAAAAACAAACAAAAAACAGTTTCGTATAAATTTATGCACATGCATTACTCTCTAATAAATACAAATTAAAACAACAACAAAAAAGAAAAAAGGAAAAAACCTTCACCTAACAGTCTCCATCCCTCAAAGCTTTGGGCAAAGCCTTGAAAACCAAAGTATCTGGATAATCCGGAAGTGCCGCCTGACTGCATGAGTCTTCCCTTCACCTGTGAATGTTAAGATACTTCTGCCCATTTCATGACACCTACTGTTTTCCCCCAGCTTTTTGCTGGAGGGGCATACACTGGCCACCAGTAACAGATAAGGTTTGTTTTGTTTAAAGCACTTTGATAGCTAATTGGTTTCCTTTTTTAATGAATAAAACATTTTTAGGGCAGCTTTAGGTTCACAGCAAAACTGAGTGGAAACTACACAGTCTTCCCATTTACACTCCTGCCCCCGCCCTGGAAACAGACAACCTCCCCACCATCCACACCCCCACCAGCTGGTACATTTGTTACAACCCGTGAACCTGCACTGGGGCGTTATCATCACCCAAATGCCACAGTTTACATCAGGCTCACTCTTGGGGTTGTACATTCGTGGGCTGAGACCAACCTCCGATGACCTGTATCCACCACTATAGTATCATACAGGAGAGTTTCACTGCCTGAAGAATCCTCTGTGCTCTCCTGATTTATCTTTCCCTTTTACCAGCACCATAGTTTTACCTTTTCCAGAATGTCACATAGTTGGAACCCTAGAGTACGCAGCCCTTTCATACTGGCTTCTTTCAATTCGTAATGCGCATTTAAGGTTCCTCCTGTATCTCTCCTTTTTTTTTTTTCTGTTTTTGTATATATATATTTTTTATTGAATACAGTTTACAATGTTGTGTCAATTTCTGGTGCCCAGCACAATGCTTCAGTCATACATCAACATACATATATTCGTTTTCATGTTCTTTTTCTCCAGAATACCATATGATATCACTTATTTGTGGAATCTAAATAGAAAGACAAACAAACCTCCGTGTCTTTCTATGGCTTGAGAACTCACTTCTTTTTAGCGCTGAATAATATTGCACTGTCTGAATGTACCACTTACCTACTGAAGGGTATCTTGGTTGCTTCCAAGTTTTGGCAATTATAAAGAAAGCCGCTATAAATGTCCAGGTGCAGGTTTTTGTAAGTTTTCACTTATTTCACCAAAGAGCACAACTGACAGGTCGTATGGGAAAAGTATGTTTAATTTTATAAGAAACTGTCAAACTGTCCTCCAAGGTGGCTGTACCATTTTGCATTCCCAACACACAGCAATGAATGGAAGTTCCTACTGCTCCATAAAAAATTTTTCATATTATTAATATTAAATAATATTTTATACTTAAACCTGGTTGAAACTTTGTGTTTTTACTAATTTTTGCAATGTACCATACATAATTTTATATAAAATGTGTGTGCCTAAACTTTATATACGTAAAAACTTTCAGAATGAAAGCTTTTTGATACATGCAAAAGGAGAAAAGAGTAACAGAGCAATTGTGTTTACTTCTTGGTTTCAACATTTATCTACACTTGGCCAATCTTGTTTCATTTATACTCCCATCAACACTCCTGTCCTCCCCTGTCCATCCCCCAAGCCAGATTATTTTAATGCAAATGCCAAGCATCACATCATCTCACCTATAAGTATTTTAGCATGTGTCTCTAAAAGACAAGGACATTAAAAAAAGACAAGAAAACAAAACTGCAATAGCATCATCACACTTAACAGTAAAAATTTCTTAATACCGAACATGCACTGTAATTTTGTTTCAGTTTGAATCTGGATTGAAATAAGGTTCATACACTGTGATTCTTCAGTGTGTACTTTCTTTTATCTATAGGTTTCGTCTCCATTTCTAATATTTCCCTTGCATTTTAAAAAATTTAGTTGAAGGAATATAGGTTGTTTGTCTTGTAGAATTTCCACAATCTGGAATTTGCTCACTGCATCCCACTGGCATGTTTCAACATATTCTGCTGTCCCCTCTATTCCTATAAACTGGTAACGTGACCTGGAATAATTCCACAAGGAGATATTTCTCCTCTGAGATATTGATCATATAAGAAAAGGAGGATCGCTGCCCGATTCTTTCCCTTTATTTACCAGTTTTCAAAATGAGGTAAGCTCTTGAACAGTCTCCAAACATGACCAATGAGGTTTTTATTTTTAAAGTATAATTATGAACTCATGGATTCAAATATACTTGACATGTTTCAATCCAGTGCAACTTATATCTTTATTCAAACTGGCTTTGAGTTTTTTTGTTTGTTTGTTTTTTGTTTTTGTTTTTGTCTTTGAGTTATTTTGACAAGATCCTGGTGGTCCAGGACAACTTCCTTGCTTTCTGGTATGACAAAATGTGTCAGGCTTAACTTGTACACTTGCTACTTAGACCTAAAACCAGTCATTTCTCCAAGGGTTCCTTACTCTTTTAGTCACAAATGGTATTTAGAGATAAAATAATATTTTTAAGCACAACTACATAAATGAAGACTGTGTTTATTTATAAATAAGTGTGAAAATAAATATTCACCCATCCCTAGTTGCACCCTCATCTCTAAATTCTCTTCCCCTGAAGATCTGAAAAAACTCACAGAATTGGCATCCCAAATAATGTAACCAAAGTTACTGCTTTTCCAAGACATTATTAAAAGGCTTTTGATTTTTGGGTTAATAATGTCCACTGTTTTCTGTAGTCTATCGTTTATCAAACAAAAACTATCTGCTTTTAATTATGAGTTAAGTGTTTTAATTAACTATGTAAATTACATAAAATGTCAGTAAAGATAGTTCAAAATTTACAACGTTTGGGACCACCTGATGTAATTGTCATACAGCAGCATAGATTTTGGCAGTTCACATAATTTTCTGATGGCTTTGTCTTCAGGCAGTATTTTCAGTGAAAAGCTTTTGCTTTCCCAGGCAGTGGATGGATGGAGGGTGGGGCACCGAGGCGCAGAATTCTGCCAAACGGCATCAAGCCAAATTGGGATAAAATTTTTGCTCCGGACGATTTAAAAACAAAACTAAATGCAAGTCAAGAGAGACACGATCAGATGTGTGTTTTATAGAAAGAGAATCCAGAAAAAAGTGAGTAAATATGGTCTGTGGTTACACAATAGAAAGAAACGTACCACAGAAGGACAGGTAGGAGACTTATGGTAGCTTTTAAAAAATCCCTAAGAACAGGGAAGCAAGTCATTTGTTCCCTGTTCTGTCAATGAATCACACTCTTTTCTGGGTCTTTACTGATAACGTTCCCCAAAGGACAACAAAGCTTCCATACCTAGACCTTGGGCTCACAATGGCAAGGAAGGCATTATCTGCCTTCCAGGAGCTCATTAAGATAAGCAGGTAAACAATGGAACAGCATCTGATTCTTTCCTTTAGAAAACCTCCAGTTAATGAGTTACCAGACTCACCACTCTTAACCTCTACCACAACCCCTTCTCCAGCCAGCACAACTGCCATTCCCAGAAACCCCGCAGGAGGAACCACCATGTGTTAAGGGACCTGTGGGAAAACCAGGCGACAG